CTTTCAGCCATCGAGATTCTGGTCTTGTTATTAAAGGACATTCCATTTAAGCTTGTCTCGGCTTTCGTTACTGGACGGAGGGGGGAGTTAGAACATAAGCGGGGACTGAATGTTGGGGCGCAGGTGGTACCCAGAAATTGCGTCCTTTATGGGCCAGACGGAATTTAAAAACTGGCCTTAAGGAGGAACAGGAAGCGTGGCTAAAGAATTTAATTCAGTCCTAGGGCAACCAGACTAATTTAACCCATGCTTGGACTCTCCAAGCAGCGCACAGGAGAAGAGGGGCTCAACCTATTCCCCAAAGCACCTGAGGGCAGAACAAGAAGCAATGGATGGAAACTAATCAAGGAGAGAAGCAACTTAGAACCAAGGAGAAATTTCCTAACAGTGAGAACAATTAATCAGTGGAACAGCCTGCCTCCAGAGGTTGTGAATGCACCAACACTGGAAGGTTTTAAGAAGATGTTGGATATCCATTTGTCTGAAATGGTGTAGGGTTTCCTGTCAGAGCATGGGGTTGGACTAGAAGACCTCCAAGGTCCCTTCCAACTCTGTTATTCTGCCCTGAATTCAAGCTGGAAAGAGGCCATCATTTGAAGCAGACTCTATTCAATTCCCAAGAAAACTCTTTTTAACCACCAAGCTTTTTGGGATAGTGACACACCAGAAGGAAATATATTTTAATTTGTGGAAAAACAAGATTTGCTCCTATATTTAGGGTTAGGGTTTGCGACATATATTTACCATATTTTTCAGAGTATAACACACTTTCCACCCCTAAAAGAGGGTGAAAATTTGGGTGCGTCTTATACACTGAATGTATAGGAGGGAGTTCTAGTCCCACTTTAGGCATGAAAGCCAGTTGGTTGAGTTTGAACCATTCACCAGGAGACGGTGAATTCTAGGTCCACCTTAGGCGTGAAAAGTAATTGGGTGACATTGGGCCAATCTCCAGGAGACTGGGAGTTCTAGTCCCACCTTGGACATGAAAGCCAGTTGGTTGACTTTGGGCCAGTCCTTCTCTCTCGGCTCATCCCACCTCACAGGGTTGTTGTGGGAAAAATAGGAAGAGGAAGGTGTGTTGGATATGTTCACTGTCTAGAGTTATTTGTAAAAATAATAAGGGTAAGATACAAACAAACAGCCTAAAACAGTGTTTCTCAACTTCAGTGGTTTGGAGATGGGGGGACTTCAACTCCCAGAATTCTCCAGCCAGCATCCCAGGAATTCTGGGAGTTGGAGTCCACCCATCTTAAAACAGGATGAGGCCGAGAAACAGCAGTCTAAAAGCTGCTGCGCCCAGAAATTCTACCTTCAGGAAATTCTTCACTCGTTCTGGATTGTAACAGTTGCTTTCGCGGCAGATCCTTTCGACCTCTTTGATTTGGCCGGTCTTGCAAGCCGCCTGGATGTACTTAAAATGGACATCTGGGTCTTGGCTGAAGTTGACAATAGAACCCAAGAAATAGAAGAGTCCTAGATGGGCAGAGAAACAATAGGTTAGTGGAGGTGCAGGGATGAATTAATTCAAAGAGTTAAAAGTCCTTCTTTTTTTTGGCACGAGTCAGAAAATTATTAGGAACTGTCAGAATATTCATGAACTGGAATAGGACATAGCAACAGGTCAGCCACTGGGGACTGGCTGGAATAGGACATGGTAACGAGGTCAGCCAATGTGTAGGCATGGCAACTGGGTCACCAATGGGAACTATTTGGTGAATGAGAGCCATGCCAGACAACTTGGAGCCTGGGTGTGGCTTACCTATGCAACTCTGAGTCTGTGCTAGAGAACTAATCTAGTCTGCTCTCTGAATTGAAACTGGAAACCTCTCTACCACGTTGGAAGAATCTGCTGTTGGTATTGTACATTTATTCATGTGTTATTATGTATATAAAGAAATGAATCCTGCTGAATCAGTCATCTGTCTGTGCTTTCTGGATTTGATTTTTGCAACAAACTCTTGACAGGAACCCTTTCATCAAATACTCTGCATCAAGTCCTTTCCGTTGTAGATGGCTTTACATTTGGGTTACAAAAACAAACCTCAATTTCATTTGAAATCGTATTTTATCCAATTCCCAGTTTAAATTGCCTTTATCGGTAATAATTTGTTCCTGGAACTCTGCACTTTGATATGGCCCAAGGGCTAATCAATCAATCAATCAGATAACTAAATAAAAGAAAATAAAAAAAGAAAAATAAACCAAATACATCGAAAACATTTTTCAAAACTCAACACGGGCATTTAAGCAGTTTAGACAACAGCGTAAAATACAAGACTTTGATTCTGATTCCATTAAGCCAAGGATAGGATATTACTCTCCACGTAATATGGAGTAAATTAATCCTATCAGGTTAATGATGGGATTCCACTCATCCTCTTTAATCTGTCCACCAGTTTTCAACTCAATGACTTTACACTCTGCCATGCCAGTGTCAAGTCCACGGACCGTGTGTGTGTGTGTCGTGTGTGTGTGTGTGTGTGTGTGCGCGCGCGTGTGTGTGTGTTGGGGGCCGCCCGTGTCCTAAACGTACCTTCGTAGCTTTTGAAGGACTCGAACAGTTCCACAAGGGACTGTGTGCCCAACTGTTCGTGATACTTGGAAGCCACCTGGACGCACAGCTGAAGATTTTGGCGGATGTTGGCAGACAACATTGCTCGCAGGCACTCGACGGAATCTTCAACAGACAGGGAGCCAAAGAAATTCACCAGCCACTGGGGAGGAGGGGGAGAGAGAGTAAAATCCCATCAAAGTTAAATGTGTAAATAGATGCGTATATAATCTATAGCTGGCAACCTGACCAAACTGCATTAGGAACAAGTAAGGATTAATAAAGGGACGCGATGGCTCATTGGCTATGACGCTGAGCTGGTTGATCGGAAAGGCCGGAAGTTCGAATCCCTAGTGCCACATAATGGAGTGAGCTCCTGTTAACTTCTTCCAGCTTCCGCCAACCTAGCAGTTGGAAAGCAGGTTAAAAAAAAATGCAAGTAGAACAATAAGGACCACAGCAGAAGGTAACAGCACTACGTGCGCCTTCGGCGTTTAGTCATGCCAGCCACGGAGATGTCTTCAGACAGCGCTGGCTCTTCGGCTTTGAAACAATGAGCACCTCCCCCTAGAGTCGGGTACGATTAGCACATATGTGCGAAGGGAACCCTTACCTTTACCTTAATAATTAAAGAACTAAAATCTGACTGCAGCCAAGAAATTAGAAGACATTTGCTCCTGGGGAGGAAAGCTATAGCAAATCTAGACAGCATACTAAAAAGCAGAGACATCATCCTGCCAACAAAACTGTGTATAGTCAAGGCTGTGGTTTTCCCAGTGGCAATGGATGGCTGTGGATCATAAGAAAGGCTGAGTGCCAAAGAATGGAGGCCTTTGAACTCTGGTGCTGGAGAAGACTCCTGCGA